CCCGAGGGAGTCGCTCCCGCTCCTGCCGCCGGGTGTCTTAACAGCCTTTGCAGCAGCAGGGGGCTGGTGGCCAGGGTGCCCCTGCTTTACCTGCGCCAGGTTAGGGTGTCGCCTCTGGTGCTGTCTCAGGGTTGGCCCTGTGGTTTTGCTCCGAGGGCAGACGGTGGATTTGTACAGGACGGGCTGGGTAGGGAGGGTGATCCTGCTTCAGGCTGGGGTTGGAGAGGTCCCCTAACCTCTCGGGGTCCCTTCCAGCCCTGCGTCTCCAGGACTTTGTAACAACTGTCCCCACAGCTCTGCTCCTGCATGTTGGAGCACCCTTTTCTCTGCTCTGCAGCCTGTTTCCATGATTTCCACTTTATTGTGAATTGTAAGGCAATGAGAACTTGTGAAAATATGTTCAGGAATGTGAGACCAGGCAGGAGAGAGCTAAGCTGCTTGTAAAAGAGAAACGAATGAGCCTGGAGTAGCTGAGATTCATGTGGAAAGGAAAGAAAGTGAAGAGAAAAGTAGTTAGGCAAGGTGTTGTTATCCAATTATATTTAATAACTATCCATACCTTAATAACTTTTTTACTATTTTGGCATGCTTTATTCCAGCTTCCCCAAAAACTTTGCCAACATGATCCTGACTCTGATAAAAAGTATAATAATTCATATATTGCTGTTTTTGTCAAGGTGTCATGATATTAAAAGTATTAGATCCTGAACTGGGACTGGTTTCTGCATCATTTTGGCAATAAACATGTGCTGGGTCCTACTCAAAAAAATGAGTACCCCCATATCTTAAAATAAAGGGGGAGGAGTTCTAGCCACTTCTAAGACACTTGCTCGATAATTTGGTTCAACCAGTCCTCTAAGCAGAAAAAAGATCTTTTATTTTTTTCTAAGTCAGGTAATTCTCTTAGCTTGAAGAGGCATGAAGTTTACAATGTTTAATACAAAAGCACAAAAACCACACTTTCAGTCCATGTCAGTAATTATTGGTGTGATGACATAATTCACAGAGCAAAGTGAAAGTACTAGTGAAGTTGTCTAGAGCCAATTCCGCATCAGATATATTGCTATGTAGTCTTGTATGTATTGGTTGTCATGTGACCTCTTGTGAAATAACATCTAAAGCATTCTCCAGGCCAACAACAGCGACCTGCAAAGCCAGGCGGGAAGAGAAAAGACCTGGGTTGTAACCACCCAGGTCTGTGCATTGTTTGTTGAACCTGTTGTCGATATGCACGCTGTTAAGTTGTCAGAAGCATGTAAATTATTGGGATGGTACGGAAAGCACCCCCTGTATTTATGTGTGTGACTGAAGCTACAAATGAAATGTTATCTTTGTGTGCAGTTTTTTTTATTGGGTTTTCCATGTGCAAACAGAGATGGTGAGTGTGCTGGCAAGGGAGGATCATTCTGGCATCCTAGTATCTCATCCATCTACCAGCACCAATGCAGAATAAAGTCACTTCCCTTTTCACTGCGGGGAGCGGGGAGATGGTCTCTGAGGCAGTTATGGGAAAGAGATCCCCTGGCCCAGTAGTGCTACGCTTCCAGGGAGCCAGAAGACTCTGACCTCTGAAGCCATAAAGTGGACCAAGCATTTCTTTCAAGTAGGTAGCAAACCCAGCCACTGGCAGAAAGACTCTATTAGGGGCATCTCGCAATTTCCCTCTTCCCCTTCTAGGAACTTGCCACAGTGTAACTATGGGGATTTGATTTAGCTCGGGGCTGTCCATGTGGTCCTTACAGGGTCCACAAAGAGTTAATCTGCAAATGTTGGGGTCCCACCTAGCCACTGCTACTCTCCATCACTCCCCCTGCACTTCCGCTTCCTGCACCTGCCCCAAGTGAGTGTGGTTGTGGTGTGATTGGCACAGCCTATGGTGTTGGTGAGGGGCAGCCTGCAGCTGATAAACTCAGGAGTGGGCATGCGTGCACTGGGGGCAGGGGCAGCCTGCAGGGCTGTGGCTTCCACTATTGTGGTTTGTGCATGCATGGCCACCCTGACTGTTTATAAGTTGGACAGCCCTGACTTAGTTCATTGAAATTTAAGTAAAAATACCAAGTCAAACTTACTGGGATAGATGTCCTGTAAAAATTCTCTCAAAAATGGATATGAAAATTGCTTTCTGACATGATTCTGAGTTTTACCTCATTAATTTAATATAATAAGGACAGATTTAGTTCCTATTAAGTAGGTGTGCTCTTTATGCCAAAGTTGATTTTTTCTGGACATTTTGAGATATAGGGGACAGAGAGGTTTTGAGAGACAAGGATTCCAAAGAATTAAATTATTAAGTACTTGTAAAATTACTTAATGTTTCTTGGGCTCATTATAACTCTAAAATAACTTGGGCAACAAAAATTAGGCTGCGCAAGACTAGGCTGCCCATGTGTTCTGCTCTGCTCTGTGTAGACCTTCAAGAAAGCTAAAACAGGAAGGCTGTCTTTTGAAATGAAATATTACAGATGGTTGCTTGTGATCAGCTGGTGAGACCACATCAAAACAAAATGAGCATAGTTAAAGGATTGGTGCAAATGAGTTCCAGCTGTTTGGATGCATCTTCCAGATGAGGGATGACTGCCTTCTAAAGCCCCTGCTCTTTGGCTTCATAGAGGATATTCGATCAAGAAACAGACTGTCGAGGAAGTGGTAAGCAAAGGTGGCAGTTTTTGAAAATATCTTTTATTGGACCAACTCTATAGTTGGGAGAGAGATGTTAGGCAAACTTTGGGATACAAATACCATTCCTCAAGTCTGGGCTTCGGTATTTTGTACCTGAAAGCTTGTCTAATATTTCTCCCAACTATAAGGTGAGTCCAGTAAAAGATAATCACCAACCCTCACTCCAAGACTGCAAGAAATATTAGGACAACATAAGAGAATGGGGTAGATATTGACTATGGATGCTTGAAGTGCAACATTGAGCACAGATAAGGTTATATTTTGTTTCCTACATTGTGCATTTAACACATACTTACTGGCAAAGTCCTGGCTTACATGACTTACCTCAGGAAGATACTTTACTTCACCTACACAGGTATGTAGTTCTCCTATATTTTCAGGGGAAAGCTATTATGCAGTTCATGTGGCCCCAGAGTCGTATTCTATGTCTTCCTTCAGGACCACAAAACTCCTCCTTTAGTTTCAATGGGCAGTATTGCTGTCTAATGGATTAAATGGAATTTACCTAGGTGTGTGGTTCTCTTTTTTTTCAATAGGGAATTTTAATCTCCACTAAGAGACCTCCATCTGCTCAGAACTGTACTTCTTTCTGATAAAATAAAATGGGGTTGTCCAACTGGTGGCCCATGGGCCGCATGTAGCCCCTGAGGGGTTAAACTGCAGCCCTTGGGCTCCTGATCTGGATGCTGCTTCCCCCTTTTGCTCTCTTTCTGCTGCCACTGCTGGCATCCCCTCCCTTCTCCAGCTTCCATTGCCTACCCTCACCCCTGGGCCTGGGGTGGAGTGGTATGATCTGTGGGTTCTGTGAGCCTGTGGCCAGAGAGTTGGGGGTGGGGGAGCCAGGGACCCCATGAAGCATCTGTACTGATGTGATGCAATGGGAGTTGCTCACTGTGCAGCAAGACTGCACTGCACATCATGTCCATGTGCATGGGGGCTTGCGTGGTGTGGCACATCCACACATCAGGGCCACAGGGTGAGCT